ATATTAAAGATAAAGTAATCAATCCGTTCACTAATAACGAGATGGATATCAGAGTGATTGACAGCGATTCCATCCCTCAATCCACTCAATCAACTCTTATGGTTAAGACCGAGAGTTTTGAAAACATTGATTTGAGACAAAATATATTGTCGGAAAGCAAACGATTAAATATCGGCGGATATTTTACTTCATCCACATTAAGAGATTGGCTTATATCGAGACAGAGGTATTGGGGAACTCCTATTCCTATCATTTATTGCAATTCATGTGGAATACAAACGGTTCCCGAAGACCAGCTGCCCATCAAATTGCCGAAACTCAACCCTTCAGAGACACAGAGTATTGGAGATGACATCTCAAACCCTATTAGAAATTCAGCTCCAAATGAATGGTTGTTTTCTATCGTAATAGAAAAGTATATATATTTTTACTAAAATGATTGTATATTTGTGTTGAACAATAGGCTATACACTGAATGCCCCGAATGTGGATCCACTGATGCCATGAGAGAAACTGAAACTTTGGATACATTTTTTGATTCTTCGTGGTATCACCTGAGATATGCCTCACAACCGCTTGATAACAAGCCTTTTGATTGTGAGGCAGTATTGCCCACATTTTGTTACGTCGGCGGCAAAGAACACGCGGTTCTTTATCTGCTTTATTCCCGATTTATTACACACTTTCTTTACGACAAAGGCTTTTGTCATTTTAGAGAACCCTTTAAGAAGTTGTTAATGCAATCAATAATTAAGGGAAAGACACATAAAGTCGATGGCATGTATGTCAGCGAAGAAGAGGCTAAACAACACAATAATGTTGTCATTGAATACAAAAAAATGTCAAAATCAAAGGGAAATGGAGTGAATCCACAGGAATTACTACATAAGTATGGATCCGATGCCACACACAACCGCTCGATAACAAGCCTTTCGATTGTGAGGCAGTTTTGCCCACATTTTGTTACGTCGGCGGCAAAGAACACGCGGTTCTTCATCTGCTTTATTCCCGATTTATTACACACTTTCTTCACGACAAAGGCTTTTGTCATTTTAGAGAACCCTTTAAGAAGCTGTTAATGCAATCAATAGTTAAGGGAAAGACCTATAAAGTCGATGGCGTGTATGTCAGCGAAGAAGAGGCTAAACAACACAATAATGTTGTCATTGAATACGAAAAAATGTCAAAATCAAAGGGAAATGGAGTGAATCCACAGGAATTACTACATAAGTATGGATGCGATGCCACGCGTTGGACACTTATAGCCGACGGAACCACTGATAAGGAGAGGTTTTGGGAAAACGATGAGAAAGAATTTGGTCCGTCTCTTGCATTCCTGCACAGAGTTCTGATGACTGTCGAAGAGTTTTGCGATATTAAAAGCGGCAAAACTGTAATAAATGGTCATCAGGTCAAAGAAGTGGACAAACAGACCACCGATAAAGCAAAACAAGCATTACTTAAAGCCATTAATTACACGACCGATAAAGTGGTCGTTAGTGTTGAACACATTTGTAATATGAAGAGATCGACGATAGCTGTCCACGAGATGATCAATGCTATGCGAAAGTATCATCGATCAAATGTCATCAATACTCTCGAATACGAGAGATGTTTGGCCGCGCTTTTAATCATTATCTCGCCATTTGTTCCGCACGTGTCGGCCGTCTGTTGGGATCAATTCGCTTCTCACGCCATCGGTTCCCATGAATACGATATCACAAAATCAGTGTTCGAACAAAAGTGGCCCACAATTGATGACCAATCCTTTGAGCACAGGATATGGTTCACATATAGTGACAAAACAGGCAAACAAATCAATAGTCATGGCATTAATGTGAGCAGAAGTTCATTAAAAAATTGGACACAAAGTGATGTCAAAGAAGTGATTGACGTCAGAGAAGAGGACATCGAGAAGATTGATATCATTAAAGACGTTGCGGTTGTCGTGAGACTCAAGAATGGAAAACAAAAGGAAATTAAAGATAAAGCCATTAATTAAATATAAAATTAGTCTTTAGTTATTGTATAATAAATTTAATTACTGTTTAATTATGAGAATTATTTACTGAAAACACTATTATTTGGATACAAATGTTAAGGTGAAGAATAAGATGGCAATGATTTGGGCAACGGATCCGACATTCTTCTCAAACGCGTCTCTTTTGTGTACTTATATACAGAACTATGAAATGAAAGCAACAATTGTTGTGACAAATGATTGAATTCATGGTTAAGACAAACCATTGTTGCCGCGGATGAAAGCGTCGCCGTATTTATTCTTGAGCTGTCCGTTGACGTACTCTTCCGTCTGTTCCAACGCTATGTTCATATAGCCGTCCAAACACGCCAACACTCCTGCAATGGCAACAACCATGGGATCAGTTAACAGTTAACATCACTCAACTCATAATCGTATCAATTGATGGCAAACCTCTGTAATCGACGCCAGAATTGAGTTTCACGACAACCGGTCGGCCAATGATTTGCTTCAAGAAGTCACTCGGCGTTTGTCTTTTGGCCATCTCTTTGATTGTTGTCTTACTATTCAATTATCGCTCAATTAATCAATGATTTACTGATTCTTATAACAAATCAATGAATGAATGAATTTATACTTCAAATGAGTTGACAACAAATGTGTACAAAAAACATGTGAATTGTGTTTATGTCTTAAAGGTTTAGTTTTCTGTTGACGTTTTGCATTAGAAATGCCCGAAATATTGTAACAAAATATATGCATTGTTTGTACTGATAGTGATTGTGAGGGCAGGGGTTGGGTTGAAATGGGGGTGAATTGTGTGTTGAGTTGTGTTGTGTTGAGTGCCGGCACTTGTGAGCAGACCTGCGATACCGGTATTACCGGCACTAAAGTGGACACCAATTGTACACCAATTTGAAGACATTTGTCTCACAATTATGATCACTAATAAGAGACGTGTGGACACGACTGGATCAGATGGTTATGTCACACATTTGGCATTAAATCACACCAAATGTGAATTAGCCGTCAATTTGGACAACGAGTTGATCCATGTGTTGGACTCAAAGACATTGCAAACCAAACAGCGATTGAATGATTTGAATGCATTGAATCCAGTGATGAAATACTCGCCACAAGAACCCAATCAATTGATGGTCTGTTCCTCAGATTGTGTCCACTTCTATGATCTTCGAGCGGATGGCGTGAAGAGTTGCCAACAGTTCACAGTCAATAGCGACCACCAATTGAGTGATTTAAGTGACAATACGTTGACATGTTTTGACACTTCATGTGATTTCAGATATCTTTGCGCCGGAAGTGAAGTCTCAGAGAAAGACAAAAACAGTTACGTATTGTTTTGGGACATCAGAAGACCGGCACTTGTTTTGGGCACGTATTGTGATTCGCACACCAATGATGTGACGGATGTCTGCTTTCACACCACTCGACGCCATGTGTTGGCCTCCGGAGGCAGCGATCAATTGATTAATGTGTTTGATTTGAACGAATCGGACGAAGACGAGGCACTGATGGCCACATTGAACGTCGAGAGCGATGTCGAGCGCATTCATTGGACGCCAATCATCAATGAGGGACTCATTTGCGTCACACGAGACCATTGCGTTCAGTTGTGGGACACCCAAGACGTCGAGCCTAAAGTCAATCTAAGCGCTTCCGCCACTCATTCGGCCTTTGATTACATAATCGATGTCTTCGCCGACAAAGGGATGGTTTGTGTCGGAGATAAGAGTCACTCGATTAAGACTTTTGAAATCAATGGAACCGATAGTTTAGAAAAGATTATGTTTAAAGAGTGTTTGTCTGACGGACACAACCAAATGGTTCGCACCGTTGCGGCAGATAATGAACATCACATCCTATATTCTGGAGGCGAAGACGCTATGATTTATGTATGGAATCGCTTGGAATCACAACAACTGTTATCACAGAAAAGTCACACTAAAGTCAAGACTAAAAGACGTGATAAGCGTTTGAACCCCTATTGATATAAATTGTTATTTTTAATAAATTATGTTATTTTATAATTAAATTTTAATAAATAGTGATTTAATCCATATTTTAAAACTTTGTTATAAAAAAGTTGATGTGAAGGGGAGGGCAGCACTCACTCCATAACATTGTAATAAACACATGTACTGTACTATTAATAATAGCGTGACCAAAATGTCAATGACATTTAAAAGTACCGAAATAAATTGTGTTAATGTGAATCTCATGATGTGATAATACCAATATTATACTGGTAAATGTATTTTCTATTTTATGAAGGTGATATAAACACAATAGATTATTTGGTTTAAGTTACAATTTAGTAGATATATCTAAACAGTTATTAACTGTTAAAGTTAGTATCAGAATGAGGATTGATTTGTCTGACGGACACAACCAAATGGTTCGCACCGTTGCGGCAGATAATGAACATCACATCCTATATTCTGGAGGCGAAGACGCTATGATTTATGTATGGAATCGCTTGGAATCACAACAACTGTTACCACAGAAAAGTCACACTAAAGTCAAGACTAAAAGACGTGATAAGCGTTTGAACCCCTATTGATATAAATTGTTATTTTTAATAAATTATGTTATTTTATAATTAAATTCTAATAAATAGTGATTTAATCCATATTTTAAAACTTTGTTATAAAAAAGTTGATGTGAAGGGGAGGGCAGCACTCACTCCATAACATTGTAATAAACACATGTACTATTAATAATAGCGTGACCAAAATGTCAATTACATTTAAAAGTACCGAAATAAATTGTGTTAATGTGAATCTCATGATGTGATAATACCAATATTATGCTGGTAAATGTATTTTCTATTTTATGAAGGTGATATAAACACAATAGATTATTTGGTTTAAGTTACAATTTAGTAGATATATCTAAACAGTTATTAACTGTTAAAGTTAGTATCAGAATGAGGATTGTTGGCAACTCTACTCAAACAATAGTTTAAAAATTCATATTTGGATGTTTTAAATACAATAAAGTTTTACCATTATTAATCATTTATTATAGTTATGCTTTATTTTCAATCTAACTTTTGAATACATTTTTAATTAACATATTCTCTCATTTTATATCAAAAGTATTTACAAAAAATGAGTTGCGATTCAATGGATGAAGAGATGTATGACTTCTGGCAGTCTTTGTCGAGAAGTGCTTTTGGAGATATGGTTAACGACAGACATCGGAATCACTTGTATTTTAAGGCCATTCAGAAAACTGTTAATCGGCTCAAGACATGCAAAGAGGATATACTAGGCCTAGACATAGGCGCCGGCACTGGACTCTTATCCCTCATGAGTGTCAAAAGCGGTGTCCATCGAGTTGTCGGTACTTATAGTTAATTGTCATTAAAATATTTGTTATAATAATATATTTGTAATTATATGTGGTTTAAAGCGTGCGATTGTTTTGAACCGATTGCCAAATGCGCTCAAAATATAGTCAATATTAACGGCTTTTCGGATGTCATTAAAGTTGTGAACAAGAGATCAGACAAATTGACGGTCGGATCAGTTGATTGTGATTTAGAGAGAAAAGCGGATCTATTAGTGGCCGAACTCTTTGACACGGAATTGATAGGCGAGGGAGCGATCGGTTGTTATCGACACGCGGCTCAACATCTGTTGACTTCTGACGCATTACTGGTGCCGTCGAGGGCTAAGATCTACTGCCAATTGGTTGAATCGGATTCACTCTTTTCATACCATCAGTTCACAGATAATATCGAACTCAACCAACATTTCATAATTAAATGTCCACAACATGTGAAGAGTTGTGACGGATCTAATGTCTTGCATGACATTCAAATGAATCAATTAAAACCAAATGAAGACTTTATTGTAGTTTCAGAACCAGAAGTTGTCTTTGAGTTTGAATTCAACGATATATCGACCCTCGGATCTAAAGATCGCAAAACAATTGAATTCAAAACAATACGTGAAGTGAAGGGTCCACTCGTACTCTTCATGTGGTGGACAACAGATATGGACTTCGAGGGAGAAATAGTGTTGAGTTGCGCCCCATTTTGGACATATAATGATAGCGCTATCACTGCAAAGACTATTCCGTGGAGAGACCACTGGATTCAAGCCATTTATTATTTGTCGGCAAATAATAAACGCTTTGAATTAAAAGCCAATCAAACATTGAAAGTGGAGGCAAATCGAGACGAATATAGTCTTTGGTTTAACGAATCAAATGATGACAAGTGTTGCTCCGATTCGTTAGGGTTTCAATGCAAATGTGGTCTCCATTTATTTCTTAGCCGAACGCGTATAGCAATGGTTAGCGACACGTCTCGACTCCGACTCTATAACAAAGCCATCGAAGAGATCACCACTACTTTGACAGCAGACCAAACCGACGCTCTGTTTATCGGAGATTCAAGTCTTTTGCCAATAATTGCCGCGAAATACAAGAATATTCGTCAAGTGTTTTGTTTAGCAAAGAATAGGCAAACGAAGGACTTTATCGTGAGTTTTGCCAAATCTAATGAATGCGAAGACAAGATCACAATTATTGAACACTTTGACCAAATAGAAGAGCAAAGCGTGGGTTTAGTATTAAGTGAACCGTATTTTAATGCCAGTGATCTTCCGTGGAATCACTTGCGTTTGTGGTCTCTTCTCAATGAGATTCCTCCAAATATGTTGACAAATGATGTGATTTTAATGCCAAACAAAGCTATTATTAAAGCGATTCCAATAGAATTCGACGACTTATGGAAAATCAATGCCGACGTGGGCTGCGATGTGGAAGGGTTTGACTTAAGCGCTTACGACCAGTTGATCCGATCGGCTAAAGCCATGAGCGACCCCTCCATTGAGTCGCATCCTCTCTGGGAATATGCGGGCAAAGCGATGGCCGACAAGCCTTTAGAGCTGTTTTGCTGTCATTTAAGCGAAACGATTGATACGACAAATGTTTTGAAAAGTTTTGTTAAATTTGATATCAGTTCTCATTTACCAAAACTCAAAACAAATTACATATCGATTGCATTTTGGGTTGAATTCTATTTATTCGATCATTTAATTGAAAATTCGGGTCCAATTGAAGACATAGTC